CCACGGCTGGGGATAAAAGTGTGTTGCTAGAAAAAAAACCCCAACCCTAAGACATCTGCATCTAACAGATTCTGAAAAGCAGACGAAAACCCCTGAAGTTTAAGAAGATACCCTCCTCTACATCAGATTTCTACATCAGGCCACTCTCATGCTTCACCTGGACTGACGTTGCCTCTGTGCTCCCAAACAACTGCACCATGTAGGAAGGAAAGCAAAAGCTACGCACCCAAGCAAAGCAAAATAAACAATTCATTCACTACTGCCCTGGTATGCTGAGCAGAGGTGCCTTTTCAGGAAGCATTCTGCCCTCCTGGGGCTTGGGTTGAAGACGCTACCAGGAAACTTCCTAGACTTGTATGGCCCCCAGATGATTAGCTGCACTTGCTTTTTCATGTGGGTACCAACGAAGGCGTGATGAGAAGCCCAAGGATGGTCAAAAGAGGCTTCAGGGCCCCAGGGAGACTGGCCAAGGGATCAGGAGTGCAGGCCGTGTTCTCCTCTGTCCTCCCAGTTGTAGGAATGACATCAAAACAAACAGGTGGACGCAACGTATCAACACCTGGCTGTGAGGCAACCTTCACTGGCAGAACTTGGGGTTTTTCAATCGTGGGGTGGTCTATGTGACACCAGGCCTGCTGGGGCCTGACGAGGAGCAGACAGGAGGTACCGGAGGCCTTGGCTCTGTCCCAGAGCTACGACATCATTCGCGTAAGAGAGACTTGTTGACAAGAGTCTTGTGACTGGAGTGCTGTGATGGACTAAGTTATAGGCTCTTCAGGAGAGAGAGGCAGGGCAGGCGAGGCGGAGGGGTAGTGCTGTATGTAAAGGAGGGGTTGGAACATACAGCGCTTGCAAGTGGGGACAACATGGTGGTGAGCCTCTGTGCAGCCACTAGGGGAAGAGCTAATAAAGCAGATGTTCTTGCGGTAGGCTCCTCTGGATCACCCAGCCAGGCTGATGACACCGATGTATTATTCCATCAGGAATCAAGGGAAATCTCTAGACCAGTTGCATTGTGTCGTCCTTATGGGTGACCTCAGCTTCCCAGCTGCTACCTGGGACTGTCACAGAGCAGACGTGAACAGGCCCAGGAAACTCCTGAAGCCCACGTTGAAGAGAACTTTTTGATACAGGTACTATGGGAGCAGACTAGGAAAGGTGCCCTCCTAGACCTGTTGTTTCTACAAAGAGATGGTCTCGTGGGTGAAGTGACAATTGATGGCTGTCTTGGCCATAGTGATCAAGAAACGGTTGGCTTTAAAATCTTTGTTGATATGGGAAAACCTGGGAAAGCTGCACCCGCACCCCCACATCGCCCTTGGGAAGCAATGTCTTCTCGCAGTGCCACAGCAGGAACAGAGACCCTGCCATGGGCAGGCCCCATCCCGCCACCACCCACCCATCGGTGTCACAAAGGCACCAAGAGCACACCCACTACCACAAAGTCAGAGGCCAGCACCGAGGGAGCCAATCCCATCTCACAGGAAGGGATCTCAAGGAGCAGAGCGTCCTCAGGTCAGGTCACCCCATCTTATGTTCGGTAAGGGTTCGGAGGGCTTCTGTCGCCTTTGTAAAGGGAGCCCCTCCGAGCCCAGTCCTGCCAGGTGGGTCTGTACGCTGTGGGTGTCGGGCACTGGCTGCCCAGGGCTGCTGTGAGTGGCTGAGCCAGGCTGGGGCCAAAGGCCAGGAATGACCACCGGGCGTGCCTGTGATGTGCTCTGCTGCCTGTTAGAGCCCAAATGGGGGCGGCTATCAAAGGAGCCAGCAGGCAGCGCTGCCCCAGTACGGTCTGGGCCAGCGGTGAGTGCGCACGCGGGGGGAGGCTGGGCTGGACGAGGGCCGGAGGAGGAACGCGGGCCCCGGGGAGTGGGCTGTCACTCAGCATGGAGGGCCCGGCTGCTGCCGGGAGCGCCTTGGGCAGGGCAGGGTGCTGCCACCGCCAGGGCTGGGCACAGGCCTTGCAGCCTCCCAGCTGCCTCGCCCCCTCTCCTACCTGCCTCCCAGCTCCCTGCGGCTCCCGTCCTTCCTTCCCCAGCCGCCAGCTCCCTCCCTCCCAGCCCCACTGAACCTCTCTCTCCCTCCTCCTGCAGGCCATGGCTGTCCCAACCTTCCTTGTCAGAACAGCCTTCCTTGTCAGAACAGCCTTCCTTGTCGTGCTTCTGCAAGGCTTCATCCTGACCCCGAGGCTACACACATGCACATGAAGCACCATGAGCAGAAGCTGAGACACAGGATGTCTCAACTGTTGGCGGAGCTGGAGCAGGGGAACTTGGAGCTGAGGACCCAGGAGCAAAGCATCTTTGCCTGGGAAGCCATTCTCTTCTCTGACTTCCAGCGGTGGCAATTCTGGGCCCTTGAGGGACTGCTGGTGCTGCTCTGCTGGTGGCTCAGTAAAAGGAGCCATCAGCCAGATGGCAGGGACGGAGACAATAGCTCCAGCAGCAACAGCGAGCAGGAGGAGGAGGAAGCACAGGAGGAGGAGGAGGGACAGGAGGAGGAGGAGGAGGAACAAGAGGAGGTGGAGGAAGAAAGTGACCAAGAGGATGCTGATGGTGAGAGGGATCTGGGCAGGATTTTTGGACAGGACGTCCAGTGGCCAGCGCAGCACCCCGCCTATGGGAGAAAACTGGTGGAGAAGCTGGTGGGCAACCTCCTCCGTGCCTGCCAAGAGCTCCTCTTCAACAGTTTCTTCCCGGTGCTGCAGCCAGCCATTAAGGTGGGCAGCGCCTTTGAAGGTTGGGCTCCCCGTGAGGATGATGCTGTCTACTGCCTGCTCCTACCTCTGAAGCCCCCCCGTGGGCACACCTTCCACCTGGAGCTGGACACTCCGGAGGAGATACCGGTGACAAACTCCAGGGTCCGCGTGGAGCTGAAGTGCACCTGCATGGAGGTGCAGCTGGTGGGCAAAATGCTCTGCTTTGTCCACCGCCCTGAGCAGGAGCTCAGGAGAAATCAGGGTCCCAGCCTCCTACACACCCTGTGCACAGACTCCTACCTAGATGTGGAGAAAACTGCCCACTGGTTCCAGAGCTTTGTCAGCTCAGCCTGGGCGAGGGTGCCTCAGTCGCGTTCCTACGACATGAAGGTGCTGCCCTCCAGCCGCTCCTGCAAGCTGCAGCTGACAGATACCTCCGGGAGAACTGCCCTTGTTGAGATAATTTTTGGGGTGCAGCAAGGCGACTCGGACATCTTCCTGAGCAGCGAGGGTAGAGACGACATCTTCCTCACCCGAAGCACCATATGGCCAGAGAGCTACGCTGTGGCAGAGGCAAAGTTCTTCAGTCACGTGGCCAGGCAGGCCCCGCGTAACAGCTTCCACCTCAAATGCCTGCAGCTCTGGGCCAGCATCCTGGAGGGCACAGGCTTCACCACCTATACCTTGAAGACAGTTGTGATGCACCTCCTGGCCACCACACCCCTGTCAGGCTGGCGCAGGAGGGATTTCCTGCTGCGGCTGGAGGATATCATGCGGCTCCTGCACTGCTGCCTGGAGGACAAATGCCTCGTCCACTTCTTCTTTGGCAACGAGAATGTGCCCGAGGAGATAATCTTGCCCCCAGCCTTCAAAACGGCCAAGCCATACAACCTCTTCTACCACCTGCTGCACTCTCCGGCCGACCATGCCCAGGCACTGCGTGACTACATGGAGCTGCAAGATCGACTCATAACACTGCTGTACTACGGACACTGAAAGAGTTCCTCGTGTACAGAGCTGTGGTTGCCAGTCTCACAGCTGAGGGCAGACAGCAGCCTCATACTGCAGGGGCAAAGACGGGAGACTGCAGGACACAGAAAGGGAAGGGAAAACCCTGTGCAGCAGCCCCGTGCCAAGAGCGTTCTTACCACCTGGACGGTGACCACCCCCTCCTCTTTGAGAGACTCCATTCCTTCTGTGAGCTTCATTTTCCACAAAGTTCCCAATAAATGGCATGTTTGAACAAACGCTGCGCCTGTGAGTGTCTGTGCATCACTTCTTAGGGCAACGTGGGCACAGGGTGCTGACTGCTCAGCTGCCCCACGGTCTGGGAGTGTTTTGCAAAAGAGTGGATGCGGTGGTCTCTGCCTTCTGTGATTCTCTAACTGTGGCTCCCCCACCCG